CCTCACAGTTTAAAAGCTGAATGTAAATGTAATTTACATTCATTTTGTGTGTTGTCACCTGGGTGTCAGGCACACCTCTGCCCTTCGCTGTCTGCTGCGGTCAGCTTAGTGGGTGAGGTAAAAGGATCGGTCCCTTTAGGAGGCCTGAACAGAGAGTCCAGCTGCTCTAGAGGCTTTCCAGAGAGAACAGAAAGTCCTGCAGTAGATGCAGCATTCTTGATTTTGGTTACCTTCACTTGAATTAACTTTTCTTGTTGCTACTTGTGGACTGCCTGACATCCTGGAGTCCTTCTAGGTTTTCTTTAAGATGGTTGAGATGGAGATGAGCTATGGGTGCTCTGCAGCTCAACTGATGATTTGTCATGCCAGTGATAACTGCTGATTCTTCTTTCCTTTCCCAGTGATGCTTTATCCCTGTGACATGCTCAGCTTCCGCTGGCCCACGACCTGCTACAGGCTTTGAAACTGGATCCCTTGACTGGTTGTGACCCACGCTGGTGCAATGGCTGGTGTGGCGGATTAATTTACCACTCACCTGTTTGTGTATCGCTTGCTTTGCTACTTGGAATAGAAACTGAAGATGGTTGTTTCTGAATGAAGCAGATTTCACTGTTGATAAAGGAAGCAGGAAGACTGAACTGCTTGTACCTGGTTTGGTTGTTTGGGAGAGTGAGAAATTTTTAAAATTTCTCACTCTCTTTAAAAAGTCACAGTTTGCTGTTCTGTTCCTTGTAGTCAGTGTACATACCAGATGTTGGCTCCTGAGAGCAGCAGGTTAGGGAGTGCCAGAGAGAAAGGTTCGGTGGCTCTAGAGACATCACACTGCTGCAGTGCCCTGCGCTTGCTTATCAGCATATGCTCCTGCCTTCGGTGATCACAAACTAAAGCGGGATGCTGGAGTTTCCCACAGCTCCCTGAAGTACGCACTGACTTACAGGTTTGTGGGTTTTCCCTTTTTTAAAAATTAACTTTTAGGTCTCAAATACTCAAATACAAATGTTGCAACACAGAGGTGGAAAAACTGAGGGAGCTCTAAAATATGTTTGAAGACCAACGTTAACAATTTCTACCCTGCATCTGTGTTCTACCTGGTAATAGATCTCACTTTTTTTATGAACTAGGACTGGGAGTGCTACCTTTCAGTGGTGTGCAGGCAGAGAGGAACCGTAGCAGTGCACTGAAGGGTGTTACTGGGCAGTCTCGTAGGTTAGAAGCTGTGCTGTCACTGCACTGGAACAGCCTGCATTAGGTGCTACAAATGAAACTCCTGGACCTGATTTGTATTCCT